GCCACCATCAAATTGTTTAGCTATAGCATTCCTTTTTTGGCTAAAAAAAAAAAAAAATTAAGATGTCTTCAATATCTAAAATTTACATTGACAACTATCAAAAGCAAAGTCCTTTTATCAAGATAGAATTAAAAAAAAACTTCTGCAATATTGACATTAGCAAAAATCTTTGTAAAATTAAAGTTTTTTTCTTGGGCGATGATGATAAAAAGTTTGAATCCCTGATTAGATGATCACATCTTTTAACAAGACCATTTTGCAAAATGAGATGTCTCTTGTTCATGCCAGCCATGATCCTCTTTGGTCAAGTTATATAGCTGAATATAATATACTGTCTGGAATATAGCAAGAACCAGTTAATAAAGTTTTTTTTTTTTTTTTTTTTTTTCCAACCTAATAAAGTGGCTGGATGTGGATTCAGTTTTTAATTTATTTTATTTGGGGAGAAATTAGAATTAAGATCTTCAAATTTTTCTTACAGAAAAACATTTGCAGGATAATTATGATCTAATGCTTATTTTGTTGAATGGAAACACAAAATTTCTTAAATTTTATCTTGTTTTTTGATGATTGATTGGAACTTAAGAAAACAAAAAAATTCTTATACTGAGTAATGGAAGTTCTTATTTTGCTATGAGTAATCAGTTTGTTCTGATGAAATTAGATTTGTACATGGTAGAATAATATTTCTTTGTCCTCTGAAAATTTAACTAATTTCTGGACAAATTTGTCCATTACCTAATGTTTTAAATAATGGACATTTCATTATCCAATCTTAATGATGCAGAGAAAATTTTCTATCACCTACATCTAAAATTTAAAAAAATCAAAAGCTTGTTATATTGCATTTTCTGTTTATTATGGTTCAATATGGTTAGAGAATGCAAAGATTGAGTATATAAAAACAATTCTGACATGTTAATAGTAAAATAAGTCTAAAGTAATTTCTTTTTCTCATCCTATTTAATTAAAATTGATAATTTCCTTTTATCAGTGTACTTATTAATACCTTTTGAACTATTGACCTTAGCATTCATTTCCGTTTTGGTGATGATGCAAGCAATACAATAATGCTTTGATATATAAGCACTAAGTTGACATACATCTGATGATGAATCATTTTGTGACTAACCTTAACATTTTTGCCTCTGATGTATTATGTGTTGCTTCAGGTAGAAAATTGGGATAAAATGTATGAAATGTTTGTAGTAAAATACATAACAGTAATGGCAGTGCTGCTTTTTTTTTTTTTTCCTCCCCCTTCGGAGTTCACCACACACTATTAAAATGAGAAAAAAAAAATAAAACACTACAATTGATTTAGAAATCCTAAAAATTTCTACAGTACTAATATTTTGGTCTGATAAATTGGAATTTTTAAAAATATATTCATGCAAGTTCTTTCAGATGAAGATAAAACTTGTCAAACCACTTATCAGTTTTGCACATAAAATTTGTGGTGGGTGGAGGAGCTTTCTCGGTTATGAGTAAATACACAAAGGTTAACTTTTTAAATACTCAAATTTAAAATATTGATTGACTATCAGAGCAGCTTATATTTGATCTTAATCCTACTATTATCACTAGTTTCTGCAATCCTGTCCAGCTTTCTTAGTGACCTTGCTAGGTCATATTTACTACTACCTATTGTTGGGACGATTGCCAGCTTTTTATACTTCTCTCAACAAGTTATGTAGTTGTATCTGTGTCAATTCAAAATAGTCAATTCTACAGTGTTGTGTATATGTGTTTATGCATTAAAAAAACAAAACACACTAATTTGAATATTATATTTCTAAATCTTTTATTCCATCTTCTACTCACTTTATTTTAGTCTTCATTTTTACCTGATAATGTGCTATGTAGTATGTATTATACTATAGCATCAGGTTATTTGTGGCCAGTTGCTTTAAATATAAGCACAGATACTATTTTTCATTGTTTTTACAACCTTTATTTTAGTTACATCCTTCCATGTATGCTGTCCTTGTAAATATTCAATCACAAGTGTCTGCATTAACTTGCCTGTCTGAATTGGGAGCATTTAAAATTAAGTATTTAAACAATATATTTCCAGTGTTTAATGTATATTTGGAATTCTTTTAAGATTTAATATTATCTTTATTTGATGTATCTTAAAGAAACTTGTTTTGTTTTCTCAGTAAGCCTGTCTTTTTTTTTTTTCCTCTGACAGTATTAAAGTAAACACTTACTAATACTGTCTTTTCTTGAGTAGCTTGCTAAGACAAACTTATACATACATTTTTCTATTGGCTTTTTGCAAGTGTGTTGCATGAACTGCTTGGTAAATAGTATTAACAATTCGATGGTCAAGTTTGTTTACTCTTACGATCTACCAGTTAATCATTTCATAATATAAAAAGATTAGAATCTGTAAATTGCAGATTTGAAAAAAAAATGAATTTGTAGTGAACTGTCTGTAAGTGTTGACATTTTGAAGTGAATCTGATCTGGCTATCGGTCAAGTTGCATCTCTTTCTCTGAACTGATCAAAAATATTCAAATCAATTAAGCTCATACTGCATTTATTGATGTACTCTATATATGGCTATCTTGTTCTCATCTTAAATACTGATATTCATTTTTTTTATGCTAACAGGTCAAGTAATTATCTTAGATTTCTTTTTACAGTGTAAACTTAATTGTTTGATATAGTTTATTTTCTTTCTGTCATACTTTGGTATCTATTCCCTGCAGATTAAGCAGCTATTCTTTGCATATGTGTGTGCCATCTCTGATGTGGCACTTTTAACTGCATTGTGTTGCCCATGTGACAAGAATCAATAGTTACCCTGATCTCCCCAACTTGTCTCTGTTCTCTTGTATACATTCTCTGCTACTACTGGCAGATCTTGGACTATTTCTAACAACAAGCACTACTATGTTGCCACGGGTTTACAGGGTCTAAATATTAATGACTCTTACAGCATAGAATGGCCACGTGTGGGCCACTGAACCCAAAGCCAATCCTTAAAGAAATTATCTGCCAACATGTCTTGGAAGAAATGGTAAATTTTCTATCTTGACAAAACAATACTCAACTGTTTTTTTTTTTTTTTTTTTTTTTTTTTCCTTTAGTGTATATACCTATTAATTTGGCTCTAGAACTTTCTTAAAATAGATTCTAAGTTTATTTTTAGAACTTTGTTTGTATTGATTTGTGAATGTTTTTGTATAGAAAATTTCAGTATAAATGTTTAATTTCCGAGGGGTAGATCTTCATTTTCTTAGTGAATTGGAATTCTGAAATATTGTATTCAAATTTAGGAAACATTTGTAAGTTATGCTCTATTTGAAGTTTTCTCAAATTCTCTTTCAATTTCCTTTTCCTCACTATTCATGTTTTATAAATCTTTTTGACAATGTAAACAATATTTTTTGTCTTACTCCATTATATTTATTTAGCAACACTAAAACCAACTAATTCATTTTGGAATTTATTTTAAATTTATATTTTTGTGTCTTTTTTTTTTCTTTTCTTTTTTTTTCTATGAAAATAATGGAGTATTTTTTCTCTTTTTTTGTTTTGTTACTAAGCTTAAATTTTTTATTTTTATTTTTTTTTCATTAAGAACAAAACTTTTAAACAAATGTTTAAAAAAGGGTTGGTTACAATAAAAGTATAACGGGTTGTGTGTTTTTATATACACACACAGGTTGCGATTGATAAATTGTCTAAATTAAAAAAAAAAAAACGAAAAAATGAAAATAGCACTGAAATGTCATTTTAACAGAAAAATTACCAAAATTGCACAAATATCTTGAAATAACTAAAGTAAAATTTATTTAATAAGATCACTTCAACCACAGCCAACTTGAGAATCTCCTGCAACTCTTCTGGATGGTCTCCTTGTTTAAGTTTGGGAATGCTGTCATAATCCTTGCTTTCAGTTTATTTTTGGTGTTACAAGAAATCTTGTTGGTCTCTTGCTCAACTGTGCCTCACACATAATAATCAACTGGTTTGCAGTCTGGGGAGTTAGGTGACCAGATGTAAAGGGTGATGCTGTTGCAAAAATTGTCTGACAGCCATGATTGAGTTCTCCTGCTTGTGTGGCATGGTGCAGAGTCCTGTTGCCAGACATAGAATCTTCCAGCAGCCACCCTCTTGACCCATGGGAACAGTACCTCCTCAAGGCACTTGATATGGGCCTCCATGTTTAGTCTGATTCCCTGTGGGAAGATGAATGGAGGCATAATGTCATCATCACTAGTGATCACTCCAAACACCATGATGTTGACTGGATATATCATTCAACTCTTTTCAAATTGTCTGCACTGTACTCAGACTGATAAACAAATGCTCTGAAATGTTCATATTGGTGTTTCCAGCATGAACAGCATGCTGTTTCCAAATTTCTGGTGGAGTGAATTGCGTCATGGTGTTTTTTTTCTCGGACAGTACCCAACTGACCCTACTATACCGTGCAGTTGACAAAAACAATGCACATGTATGAAATTAAAAATATAAAATGGCAACAATTTACTCATCGATTTTATATATATATATATATATATATATATATATATATATATATATAAAGTGTGTGTGTAATTTTTCCTGTTTTTATATTAAGACTAACCTATATAAGTTTTTAACAATAGTGTATATTAAAATAAATTGTCTTGTATGAGATGAAGGTAGTTTCTCAAAATGTCTTGATGCAAACCAGGTTTGAATCGGATAAAATCAAACCTAAAATAGTATTAGGTTTCTGATATGCAATATTTCCACTCTTCCTTAATTAGTTTAAGCATTTAATTTTAATACACATACCCATCAAACTATGGGAAGATTTAAAAAATGTAAAAATTATTAGGATTAACTTTCCCTAATTTCATTGCCAATTTCTTGGAAATGGCTTAGAAACTGAAATCCCTTTTTCTCTGTACTTGTGCGTTTTATTTGGACCTCAGTGCAACTATATATTTTTTTTTTTTTTTCTCCCATATTTATTTTTTAACTGTTTTGCTTTCAGACTGCTGCAGCAATCCTGTTTTATGGAGGAGCATGGATCTTCAAAACTTATCACCACTTTGACCAACTGACCACAGCTAACATCACTCTCATTCCAGCCAGCATTCTCATTGCCGTTGGCATTGTGCTCTTCATTGTTGGAGTTGTGGGTATAATTGCAGCTGGCAAGGAGAATCGTTGGCTTTTAGCAGCTGTATGTATTTTTTTTTTTTCTCGGGTTGTTAGAAAGTTCATAGACTTGTTACTAGTTAAATATTTAAATTTAAGGTTTGTATTTTTACAGTGTCTTAGATATTTCTAATACCTAAACAATATTATCAAAGGTGGATGAGATTAATTTCTTAAACAAAATTTTAAAATATTTCAATTTTTATTTTAACTTGTTTACACATTATTGTACTTAAATTTCCATTTGCTGTTTTTCAAGATTCTTCTGAATAGCATGAATTTTACAAAGATTTTCTTATTAAACACTGACAGAAAATACAACTGCAATAAATTGAAAGTGTTCTTTCAATTTACTAAAGATTAAATGTAAAGATATAACTGGATTACAGTAAATGTACATATATACACAGGTTCTGAAATACAAGTTATTGACAACTGAGTTGTACATCCTTCATATATGTTCAATGGAGGAGAAGTCTCTCAGCATGGTAATTGAGTAGTATGGGCGTTGTTTATAGTCATGGTCCTGCTGGAAAAGAACATTGTCTCTCTCTGTTGCAGGAATAGTGGCAAAATAGGTTGAATGCAGTTCTGGAAATATATATTTCACTGTATCTCCATAAACATTTAGGGTGAGTGGTAATTGTAACTTCTGGACTCTGAAAGATGTTGCTCCCCAGTCCTATAACAAATAAATACCAGGTGTAGGAACCTGCTCTCATCACTGAACACTGCAGAACACTATTTGATCTCTCAGGTGACTAGTTTTTGTGACACCATTGTTATAGATGTGAACAATACAGTGTTGTGATAGAATTAGAAGTCTGGCTAGAGGTGCACTTGTTTGTCATCCTTGATTGATTCTCTAAGATCAGTGTTGACAACACTTCTGGGCCCATATTTACTGCTTTCTGCTGTGGATACTGTGTGGTCTGTCACTGCTGCCCTTTTACAAAACATTTTTGATCTTGGTGTACTTCATGAGTCCAGAACCTGGTCTGTAGTTGTAGCAATATTTATTTGATCTCTGTTGCCGTCATTGAAGCATGACTAACATGCACAGCAATTTTTCTGAAATGATCACACAGCCTCTTGACTCAAAATCTGATCCTGGTCAAACCAGTTCTAATTGAACAAAAGAAGCATGTGAGTGTCTTTGCAATATCAACACCTCTTTGCAATGGACTCTTTCACCATACTGAATGTTACTGCTGCATTTCACAGTCTGAAGCTTAGAGACGGTGCATTGGTACAAGTCTTATTACATGGAAAAATAGCCAAAGATGTCAAAATTCTATCAATTGGTATCTACTAACACCTCACATGGAAATACTGTATGTGGGAGTTGAAAATTGGCATTGTCTTTCAGGGTATTGCAGTATTTATCTTGGCCATTAATTTTTCCTCTTAGTTGTGAAAGAAATTTTAAAAGCCAATCTTTGATGGAATAGTTAAAGTCTTAAGTTTCTTCTGAGCTACTTTTTCTACTAATTGATTCATTTTAGAAACAAATGCTTTATAGTTTCTTCTACTTTCAAAAATTAACTTTTTTTTCTTTCTAGTACTTCATTGCACTCCTTGTTGTTTTAACTGCTGAAATAGCAGCTGGATTACTGGCTTATGTGTACAGACATGAGGTAAGTATTTTTCCATAAAATCTCTGAATTTGTCTCTTCATATTTAAATCTCATATGCAAATGAATAACTATTTTTATACAAGATAAGTTATTTTTATTTGAATAAATTTTGTGATAAATTGAAAATATTCTTGCAAAATCAATTGCTGCGAAGTAAAACGGTATTAACTTTATTACCTCTTGAATTACTTTGTTTATAGTTGACTTTCTTTTTTGTTTTTTCTTGTGGCAAAAATGCATGGTGGAATCACACAAACGTGTGGTTTGTGTGTGAGTTTTGGATGTTTGTTTTGAGAATTATAAACTCAATTTATAATACAAAGTCGATGCTCTCATTTGTTTTAGTCCAAATGTTTGTAAAGTTCCTAAGCATCAAGATTGCTGCTGTTGTAAACATAATGTTTATGTACTGTTCTAAAACTTGTAAAGGTTCTCTCAAAACAAACTCTGGGTGAATGCCTAAGTCATCCTATATCACCTATGCCCTTAAGAGACATAACATTAAAATTGCATATAAAAATTTAGCACATTTTATGATAAACCAAATTTATCATTGAGTCAGAAATCCTATGCTTCATGTGTTACTTTTTCTTTTTTTTTTCTCCTATTATATAATTTTTTTTCCTATTTTGATCCCATGATCAAATAATAAAATCTAAGTAAATAAAATTAAAATAATGCCCTTGTAAAATAAATTAAAACCACCACACTGGTTGTTCTGTGGACCACTTGATCATTAATAAAAATTTACCTTGTAAATCAGTTAAGCCAAGAGCCATGTTATTGGAATATGAACCAATTGCAAAGTGTGGGTTCACTCTATATATTACCCCAGAAAATTATCATTATTTTTTTTTTTTTTTTTTTTTTTTTTTTTTTTTTTTTTTGTAAGAGAAACCAGTCAAAAAAAGTGTTGAGGAAGTTGTCCTCTGTTCCTATATATGCATGTGATTCCCAGTTTAAACTCTGCCTTGTGCTGTATTCCATTCAAGCATGCACTTAGATAAGTCTGTTTTGGAAAGTCAATTTGCTAAGGGTAAACACTGGTTACCATTTTTATCTCCTATACTGGTTAGTAGCAGGTTTCAAGTAATTTTCGTATTAATTCTGTTGCTTGCATAAAGAAATACATCCACACAATGTGACCCCCAAATTAGTCTAATTTTTAATAATCCATTGTTTTTTATATTGAATTTGTATTTATGCAAATGTTTGCTTCTAAAAAGATAATCTTGACATTCTTTACTATCATCAAATCTGCTTTAACTATAAAAATCTTCAGCACGTACAGTTGTCTTTGTAGGTATAGTACAAATTATAAATAGCAGTGTTCACTTGATATTTTCATTTAATTTTTAATCAATGATGCATGTCCCCCCAATCTTCAAAATACCTATCACCTAATTTTTATAGAATCTGGATTCATGCAACTTTGATTGTAGTGTGATTGAGATTTGTTAACTCTTTTAGGTAACTGTTGCTGTGTCAGACGGTCTACAGACTGCAATGAATAGATATAACACAAACAGTACAATTGATCATGACCAAATGGATTATGTGCAGAAACAGGTAAGAGGCATCAGATGTCAACACTTGCATTGATTTCTCTTAGCTTTATTGAATCTGGTTTCTTAACTGGAGAAAAATTTTAAAATATTACTATTATGAAATAGTTGTGTAATAATTAATTATATTAGACTTTTTTTTAATATCAAACCTTGTCTTATTTAAAAAATAAGTGCATATCTCAAGTTTTGTCATGACAAGATTTTACTGGGTAAACTATTAAGATCTTCCAATTCTCTTGACATGTCCTACAAAAATATTTTAAATACTTAATGAAAACTGTTTCACTTCTCAGCTCAATTGCTGTGGTGTGCATGCTGCCACTGACTGGAAAAACACCAATTGGTATCGACAACACAAGGGAGCCCCTTTAAGCTGTTGTAATCCTCATTCAAATAATACCATAAATGGAACATGTGACACCAGCCTCAACCCACTTTCTCCTGATATTTATCCTGAGGTAAAAGTCTCATTTATTTTAAAAACGTCATTACAATCAATTCTTGCCAAAGTATTTTATCTTTAACTTTTTTTTTTTTTTTTTTTTTTTTTTTTGAAATAAAGAAGAAATTCATAACCACTTTAAGAACTAGTTTCTTGGTCTCACAATCTAAATGGAATTGCAATTGGTTTTTTGTGCACTTTCATATTAAACCATGTCTGGAAACCATAATTATAAGATATATATTGTCTAGTTTTGAAATCTTTTGTACATGTCAAATGAATTTGATTTGTAATAGTAAGTTTTCTGAATGAAGACTTTTTTCTAGTTATTAGTGTTTATAAAGTATGATTATTGTCAATATTTTTATTTTTTAATTGATGATAGGGAAATTAATCTTATCCCCCAAAACTAAACTTCTCTACATTGATCATCTGAGAGACCCCACTCTGCCTACCATCAGCATGGCTGATGCTGTCATCTAAGACTGTGACTCATTACGCCTTCATGGGCTAACATTCTCAGCTGACATAAGGTGGAAAGACTGCATTGAATCCCTCACTAGAACAGCTGCTAAGAAAGTCTGTTTGCAATGTTGGACAAGACACTCTGGAGAGAAAAGTTATCTTTCATATCTATAAGTCTACCATTTGTCCATACTTAGAATGTTGCTGCCATATATGGTCTAGTGCCTCTGCTATTTTACTGGAGCTCTTTGATAAGATTCAAAGAAGAATCAGTACATATTATTGGTCCTGATCTAGTGGCTTGGCTTCAGTCACTTGCCCACTGCTATAAGGTTGCCTCTCTGTGCCTTTTTTATAAACACTTTCATGATAATTGTTCAGGTGAGCTCTTTGCTATGGTACCTAGACTATGAATTTAAGCACAATATTAGACTGGCAGCAAGATCTCATCAATTTACACTTGAGCTAGCTAGATGTACCTGTAACTTCCATGCTAACAATTTCTTATCTCGCACTTCTCACTTGTGGAACTCCGTCCGGCTCCATGCTTTCCAACCAACTTTAAACTTCAAAGATTTAAAAGAAATGTTAATTGCTTTCTGCTGTCCTTGATTGCTCTTTTCTCTTTCACCTCATCTATATAATAAATGTGAATGTCACTGTGTCACAATTTTTCATCTTTACTGCGAGAGGCCATAGCTCAACATATACCATTTTGGAATCAGGTTGACTCCGTGAGCAAATTAAAAACATTCTGGTCTAGATCTGGACCTGCAATTCTGAAATTTTGGATTCACAAGTTTTCATTACTGTGATTGTTTTCATATATATATATATATATATATATATATATATATATATGGGATTAAATATGGGAATGACCAAAATTAATTGTGAAATCCAGCAAAAGTCACCCTGAAATAAAAATAATTGTTTGTATGGAAAGTAAGGACCTATGTACATCAAATCATCTTTAAATTAATTGGTGGCAGAGGAATTATTGTTTAACTTTTAAAAGGTAAGCTTAAATATTAATGCAGCAATCAATTTTGAGTTCTTCTGTAGTTTATTGTTGCCTATCGCATCTACTCCTCGCTACCTATTGTGATGAAAGCCCAATCAAGAGCCCTCTGCAGGAGCTAGCTTAAATGCCACCTGATAGGTCATTTTTTTTAATTTTTTTTTTTTTTTTTTTTTTTTAAACATAGTTCCTAATGTTTCTGTTCTTAATTCCTCCACACCCTGTAACCCTTTGTGTGCTAGTGGCTGGTACTGCCCTCCTGCTTGGGGGTGATACTGATTTTTTTTTTTTTTTTTTTTTTTTTTTTTAAGTTCAGATATCCAACTTGTGAGAATTATTGGAGTGCTTGTTGGGTCAGGTTACATGGTTGAAACTGAAAAATATATTAATTTTTTTCTGTATACTATCTCCAATTTCTTCTCTGTGTGTTGGTTTTTACTTGTGTATTTAATTTACTCATCAGAGCTTTTTAATAAAGCTGACTGTTATTCAAAATGAATTTTGAAACTGAAGTGCAAAAAGGTTTTCAGCCTGAACAACAACTGAAAACCTGTTTGGTCATTTGGTTAGATTTTGAAGTGAGTTGAGCAGAACTTTTTTTTTGAACCTCCTCGTTTTTATCTGTATAACAAAACTTTAATGTTTATAATTAAAGAAATTTTTTTTTCTCTCTAAAGGGGTGTTACAATGCACTAAAATCTAGATTCCTCTCAAATCTGACATATATCACCTCTGCTGGAATCACATTTGCTCTCCTACAAGTAAGTAGCTCTTAATTTTTTATTTTATTTTTCCAAGCATATTCACTTTTTGTCTATAAAAATTCTTAGCAATGTATATTGACATTTAATCCCTTATAAAAGAACATTAACAAACTGTTTACTCTCTGCATGTCACATAAATATTTGATTATTTGGTAATGGTAAGTTTTTGTTTTTTTTCTATTTGACATGATTAGGTAGCACAACTCTTAAGTTTATTTATTATTATTTTTTTTTTTTTTTTTTTTTTTTTATGAATTTATTTGTAAAATTTAACTTCATTTAACTTCATTTTACTCATTGATTTGTAAAGAAGTTTGTTTGTTTACACCCCCGCCCCCCAAAAAAACTCCAGGTAAAATAATCTTGGTCTACTGAAGGCATTAAGCTATTTTTCTTTTTCCTTAAAACAATTTTATAACACACTATTAATTTTTCAGGTTTGTTTTTTGAGAAATATATTCTGGCTCTTCACTTAAGCTCTTTTCAGCTTTTCTAACTAGAAAATGTTACTAGCTTGCTGTTGCTATCAAAATTTCTTGTTACATAAATTTTCTGTTCTGAAAACTTTCAAATAATCCAAGTATTAACCAAATACTGTATTAATGTTTTATATTTGTGGTTAACAATCTAATTTTTTCTGTAACATGGTTTACATTTTTTAATGTGATTAATGCATTAAATTTTATAGAAAGATAGTTTACTTAATTATAGATTTTTAACTTATCTGATCTCAGTATTGAACTGATTTCCTGGTTCTGACATTTTTAATCCTTTATCAGTTTTACTGTAGTTTCTATTTAAAAAGCTGATCTTGGCAGATCAACTAGCGCCAGACTTATTAAATAGTGTATGGGATTGTAGTAATGGTAGTGGGGATTTCATGAAGAGGTTTATTCAACAGAATTTTTTTTTTTTTTTTTTTTTAATGCACAAAGTTGGGGTGCTTTTCTAGGCTTCACATTTTGAAAATTTCATGATTTACTTTCTTTAATGGTAAAATGTAAAATAAAATCTCAAACCTAAGATATGCTTATATAAATAGCTTAAAATATGTAATTACTTATAAAAAAAACTCCTTGCTTCCTCTTGTATTAGCATTTTTTTTTTATTTTTGTTCTTGTAATAAACTTCATTGTAATTAGTTTTCATTTTAAAGTTTCCTGTTAACTTCATGACCTAAAAAATAAATGCAACATTGTACTTGATAAAATGCCTTCATGAATATTTATTTTATTTTTTCTAGATTATTGGCTTGATTGCAACTTGCATTCTCTGCTGCCGTACACGTGGTGTAATCTCATATGAAAATCTAAATACAAGTAGTGGAGGGAGTGCACTTCGGGTCTGACCAGAAGCTGCTTGTGATCATCATATATCAAGGACTGGGATGGGGGGGGGGATAAGAGTCAGGTTGTACTGTCACAGTTCAACAATGTACAGTGGTTATTGCAATAACTCCACCACAGCCTTTTTGTTAAGTCATGTTTTTTCTTTAATTTTTTCTTTTTTTTGTTTTTGAAGATCCTTTTGTAGAATTGCCAAGTTTTTGTAAGTAACTAAAAGAAATAAAATAAAAAGTCAAAACAATTCTCTATAAGCTTTTAGTTTTTGTCTGAATTTCTCAGAAATTTACATTTTAGTTTGACTAATGACAACATTAGTCAAATTATAAATAATGTGAATAAGGCTTTCAGTTATTTCATTCTCCTACTTACAGTAATGAAAGTGATGAGCCTGAGGGTCTTGGAAACAAATAAAATCACTTTGGATACAGGTCTATACTATCACAAATATTCAAAGCAAGTGGTCCTTAAACTGTGTATGGGACAGACATTTTTTGTAAACAAAGTGTATATATATATATATATATATATATATATATATATATATATATATATATATATAAAACATTAATGATAAATTATAAGTAAAATAAGTGTTATTTCATTAAAAAGAGCCTATCCATACTGGCTGAGAAACAAGTTTTGTAGAAATGCTGAAAGAAATAGTTTGTCTTCTAAAACAACTTCAGTGCTGTAGTTTCAAGAACTTTTTCTTTTTTGTTGGTAGCTGCATACCACACTACTGATGTTTTGTTTTCATTGGTAACTCTAATACATCATACAAACAACACTTAAAAAAAAAATTATTTGTTAAAAATGTTCCCTGTAAATTTGTGAGCAACTGAAAGTGAATTTTCATAAATTTATGAAATGACAAGTGTATAATAATGGTGTTGAAGTTGTGTGATTTTGGTGAAGACAAATTGTTGGTGGACAGTTTAATTTATTCATCAATTTGTGCCCATTATGATCTTGACATAAGCCAGTGGGCTTTAATTTTATTTTTTTTTGTTTTTTTTTTGTTTTTTTTTTAAAACTTTGAAAATTCATGTATAGCATACTTTTTTTTTCTTCTTGAAGCTGTGCATGAAAACAGGTTTTGCAGAAATATTTTTACATTTCTGGTAAACATACTTTATTCTTGGTTGAATGTTTCTTAAAAATAATTAATTTATTCTGCATTTGCTTTTATTTGTTTTTGTAACATAATTTGAATTTGTTTCCAGCCCAGTAGGAAATGGGCAATAAAAATTTTCTTAGTATTACTTAATGTAACAGCAAAGTTACACTTTCTGATTAGTTATTATGAAGTAATATGACAAATGTCCTTGGCTAAAATATCTTATTGACAAGTCTTTCTTACTAGTAAGTAGAATTCTATACACATCTTTGCAAATTTGCATGGTTTTTATTAGGACTTTCTGCTTCACTAATTCTACAGCTGAAGACATTTCCAAATTTACCTGTACTGAGTGCTTCACTTTTTTTTTTTTTTTTTTTTTTTTTTTTTCCTGTTCTATTTTACACATAAATTCCCACAGCTAAAATCAAATCAATACTTTCTAGCATTGTAATTTAAAGGGAAGATTTTGTTGCACTACCCATGATTAGCAGTTTTGCATGTAGTCCTTATTTAGTACTGCTCAGTTATTGCTTACCCCCATTTCCAAGTACATGTTACTTGGGCCCCACTTTTGTAAAGTGTAACATTCTTATTCTTCCTAATGGTTTTCAAACTGGCTGACAAATATTTAGTGTTTTTTACATATTACAATACAGCAGTCTCCATTTTTTTTTTTTTTTTTTTTTTTTATATTATTATTAGTATATGGTCTGACTTAATCTTTTTGTCAAGGTCCCATTTCAATAACACAGATGGTAAAATAAAAATTCACACATAAGTGCACACCTATACTGAATGTAAAATAATTCATAAGCTCTACATGGCTGTGCCTGGATTTTGCATTAAATGCAATACTGTATTGTATTACAATTTACTCTAATTTGGATTAGCTGACTTATCTTGAATATTGCATACACCGACATACCTGTCTATCTGTAATTTTTAAAGCTTAATGTTATTCAAAGTATTATTTGGTCTCAAGATGCAGATAGTAATAAATACAAAGTAACTACAAAAAAATATAAATTTTCAGGATTTTAAATTGCAGACTTAGTCAAATAAGTCACCAAAATATCTTTTTTTTCTAAGGAAGCTTCCTTAACCTTGAAAACATGAGTCTTAAGTAAAAATGATCAACTGAAATACTCAATATTGGCAACTCACTGTATAGACATTCTTCCTCACACTAACACCAGTAGTAGTATAAACCAAAAACCTGTTTGTATTAGATAGTTATCAACTTGGTCGGCTTCTGAATTCAAATTTTCTCTACACAATGTGATCTGTACAGTTATTATGTGCATTGTGGTTTTGTCATTGGAAAATAAATGTTGATTTGTTTCTGCTATACATGCTGAGATTTGAGAATTTCTCTTCAAAATTCATTGACTGATAATTGGGTCTCTGTTTTGAAAATGGATAAACTTTCTTTGCCCAAGACAATAAGACCAAAATATGATTTACATGAGCTCTCTAATCTAGTGTTGAAAATTTTCTATTTCTGTAAAAGAGAGGTTGAGATATTTTGGTAAGGTTCTTCTAAACAATTCAGATACCTGACAAGTTAAATAAACTTGTTCTTTGTTTTGAAAAGAGCTTGTTCAT